ACGATCGGATTGTTGATCCAACGATTTGATATGGATCATTGGACACAGATTTGTGGGTGAACGATCTGCCCCCTAGTCCAAGTTTTGAAACATTGCTCCAACCTAGCGAATAACATAAAATAAAATTTTAAATTGACAGCGTATGTGCTTGAAAAAAAAAATATCATGAGAGTGTCCAACATTTGGAGGGTGACATCTAACACCTGAAAAACTCAAATTTGATTTTTTTTTTAAAACAATAATCATCTGATGATTCTTAGGTGGAGGGCCGGCTCTTGCGGCTTGAGGCCCGGGCTAGAGGCAGTGGCAGTGCTAGACCGTTTCGGCGTAACCCTTTTTATTTTTATTTTTTTCATTTGTTTTTATCTCTTATACGCCATAACTGGGCCTGGGCCAGCCCAATTGGTACAAGGGTTGTGCCAGGGCCAGACCTAGATCCGGGGTGTTGCCACCCATATGTTTCGATGCTCATTGACTCTTTAATGGGAAATTTATCTAAATAACCATGAGAGATTAATTATTTAACATTCTACTCATATCTTTTGTTTTAATTTCAAAATACCGGTCAAAAGACACATGACCATGACTTTTAATGGTTACAAATGTAAAATGCTGAATAGTTCCTTTTTAATGGGTATTTTGATAACTTTCCCCTAGTATATTATTCGCGATTACAAGCAAATATTTTGGGTGACGCTTCTCTCCATTTGAAATGTTCTTTTAAGTGTATTTTAAGGCAAGCTAATTAGGATTTTCTTATTTTTCAGACTTCTATGGTATTTTTTATTTGTTCCTTTGGTGTGAGGATTATGGAATATAGTGCATTATATGGTACTGTATTGGTATGTATGGTCCGCAGTGCAATTAAGGCTAAAAAAAAGGGTAATCCGTTTTAAGTCTAGGATGGGTCTAGAAAGGCATCTAAGTCTCCTCAAATATTGCTTATTCTGGGACTTAAAAAAAAGTACCAAACACCATTGAGTTTTGTAAAGCTAAAAGTTCCCTAATATTTAAGTAAGGGTGTGGTTTACATACAGTTGCAACATTAAATAATCAAATTAAGAGGCAACTCCAAATTTGATCATAAAAATAATTATGGTGCCAAAAAATATTAAGAATATTTTATAATATATTTTCATCTCTAATTAAAAAATAGTTAATCAAGTAGATCTATAAACACTTTTAAATATTGAAAATAGATGGTTTAGATAATGCGTTGCAATATACATTATGTTTAGGTTTCAAATTTTTTTTTCATATTTATACATCTCGATATTAAGATGATCAATTAGACCATTTTCCAACATCAAAACAACATTTTATGATGGATTTTTAAGGTGCCCTTTAATTCTACATTTTAAGGTTGCAACCTTATTGGACCCGATCTAATTCTTGATACCCCCAACATAGGTCCGGTCAAGGTCCATTGCCACTCTTATTTTAAAATGCCAAAAATAGTATAAGAATCTGATGGACTTAGGAGAGAGAGAGAAGCCTTCCGTCTTCCTTTTTGTCCCTTTCCCTTTCACATCTCTTTGCTCCTCAAAACATTGCAAATCAAGAAGAATAAAAACCATAAAATAATTAAATTTAGAAAAAACCTTTAGACTTTTATAGCATATTGTGTGACATCCATCTCACTAGGAATCATTTGATGTGAATCGCATCTACGTTTTTTAACATGTTTTTCTTTTATACTATTCTAGAATTTACTGGTTCCACTACCGATCCAATTTTAACATCGATAATCTTTTTTTTTTTACTTTTTTTTGTAATTCAGTGGGGAAGTCAGTGGGAAAGATAGGCCTCTACCAATTTTTCATATAGGTTAGGGAGTTAGCTTTTTTGAAAGTGTTAATGAGTGATGTCAATAGGATCGAAAACCACAACTTGATAACTAAGTATGGGGGTGCTACCATCACAACCTAACCCCTAACATCGAAAATCAGGTTGTGTGTAATGTGATTAATATAGTCATCAAAACTCCGAGATTATGAGGTTCTCACTGTTCCATCAATGGGTTGGACAGTGATGGAAGCAAATAATCCCACCACACAATTATGTAATTGCGTGATGAGTCCCTACTTATTTTCCCATCACCATCCAACGCCTTGTATGGATCGTAAGGATTGTTGTTACCATGCTCATAGGGATCTTAATCATGCTATATTTCCCCTATCACATTTAACCTAATATAGGGAAAAGTTTATACGGAGCCGAGGCTCTAAACAATCAAATTATAACCTACCTCAATATTTTCATTAAAAGAAGTTGTTTTGATGGCCACATATCATTAAATTAATCATCTCGACATCAAGATACATGTACATGAGAAAAAAATAGATTTTAAGTATTGAAAATAGTGTATTTTGTAACGCATTTTTTGACCGTCAATTTTCAATATTTTCAAATTTTTATAGATATGTCGATCTACACTATTTTTTAAGCTTTAAACCTTATAAATAAATATGAAAATATATTTTAAGGCTATCACAAATATTTATAGTATTGAAATCGCATTTTTCGACACTATTTGAAGATAGGCTCTAATTTTTATTGTTTAGAGCATAGGCTCTATACGAACCGTATCCACAATATAAAAACGATATTTTGAATATCGCATCAGTAGTCCTTTGACCATAATGGATGACATATTTTATTTGGGTAATTCAGTGGGGGATAACGAGCCCCTACCTGTTTTTGAATTTGTTAGCAGTTTTTTAATACGGTTGGTGATAACGAAAACCTAGACTTTAACTGGGGCAAAGATTGTGCTACAAGACTCCAACTTCGTTGCTATAAAACCAATACTATAAGTACTAAAGTAATTTACCTGAAACATCCAAAAAAGTTGAGTATTACATTGATACTTATTTTTATCTTTTTTATTTTCCCCAAACTGCCCTTTAGATTTTCAAAATCTAAAATTGGAATGTTTTATATGGCCGTGAACATGCATGTGGAATTGTTGGATGTTGACAAAATTTGGATTTTATAATTTGACGTCCAGAGAAACCTAGATTTTCAAGATCCAACGTATTTTTAAGCCATACAAACACTTAAGAGGTATTTAGATTTTCAAAATCTGAAGTAGGGGTGATGTCATAATTTAAAAAATTACCAAAAATAGGGGATGAATGTTTTTTTTAATCAGAAAAATAGTATTTTAGGTATGAATGCTATAATATAAAAAAATTTAAAAATATCTTTAAAAAAATGGAACTTTGAAGAGGATATGAACAATGACAAGTATTCACTTAAGTCCACCTTTGTCATTTACAATGAGGTAGAGATGAGACTCCATACAAGAAAATGAGAAAGCATAATATACGTTCTATATGAACTGAATTTATAGCCACGAATGTTTTTGCCATCCGATCCTTGGGCGGGTGGTGATGGAGGAGGATAAGACTCATGAGTTTGGCCATCTCAAGCTCTGATTGCTAGGACTCTCCATCCATCGTTGCCCATCAACTGATTGAGCGGTGATAAAGACACTCGTTGCATCATTTAGACGTCATAGACTATGTATTGTGTCTAGCTTTCTTAGCCAAGGTTACATGCTCTTCCCAACAGAGCATGTACTCCCAAAAAATTATATTAGCTTTGAAAACCTGGATCAATGTGATGAATTGTCCACCCAACATATCTGTGCCGGGTCACTACATTGTCAAATCAGATCAGTTCGAATAGATAGTATGGGAAAATCTTAAAAGAAAATATGGGAAAAAAAAATAAAAAAAATGAGGAGGGTTTATGGGTTCAACATCAAGCTAAAAGAAAAAAAAAATATATCTATATATATGAGAGGATTTTAAGAAGGGACCGACAAGTGCTGATTCCTACTTAGAAACAATTGGGTGATTTTAAGTTTGGATTGGCGATTCTTAATCTAAATAGCCAAGTTCTCAAACCCAGCTTCAAATAGAAAAGTTCCCTCTGTCGAGCGTGCCCTCGTGGGACTACAATCTGTTCTCCACACAAGGATATATAATCCATATCCACTAGCCTAATTACCGTTCAATAATAGAAAATGGTTTGATAGGGTTGCAACTCTACCAAAATAAGTAATGCTTCGTCTCATAACTTATCTAAAGTTGCAATTCAAGTGTTGGAAACATTGAAATCAATAATCCCATCCTAAATACTATGGCTGTGAAAAAAAATTAGGAATTCAAAATTCTAAAGATGATGTATATTGCCACAAATTATCTAGACCATCCATTTCACTCTAAAAATGAATGTTCACAAATTGCGAAGATCAGTATGATTTTTTAAGTTTCAAAATTTATTGTTGGTGTTGAAAATTAATTTTAAAGGCATCATGAAGATTTTGATGTTAAAAGTATTTTTTGGATGGGGATTTTGAGTTGAGGTGAGGCTTTATTTTGTTGCGCCCTTTATCCTTCATCCTTGAATAATATGTGACGATGATGAGCTGGTAAGAGGGCCGATTCCCACTGCTTCATCACCGTCCAGTTTTAGAGCACACGGTGATGGAGGCTTACCACCTTAGATATTTATGGCCACTGGATCTTATTATATTCCAGGCCTTATCCCATAGGCTGACGCGTCAAAAGCTCGATGTGGGGTCCTTCGGCCCCCACAGTGGACCCCTAATCAGTGAACACCCAACAATTATAGGGTGCGAATGACGTGGACTCCATGCCGACGTGTCCGGAACCGTAATCTCGTTTAAACCGGATTCGTAATCGTCATTCACGTCCGTCTCGTTCCCCCTTATATATTTGAGAGGCGGTTTCTACGAATTTTATTGGCTTGTGTCTCAACTCTCAACTGTAATTTTCTTGGCGTCTGATTTTCTGAGATTTTCTCTCTCTAAAAAGGCGGTTATTCTCTGTCTTCTGTACATTTAGACCTAACCCTACTTTCGCAAACCCTAATTCTTAATTTAACTGTAATAGCTTACAGAGATTCAAGGGATCGTAAGATCTGTAAATTCCTTCGGTAAATTCTAGGGTTTCTGATCATTCTTCGGGTTTTCTTCAACGTAAATTTGCCTGTTTGTTGCTCTTATTACCGTGAAACTTGGCAAAGCTTTGTTTGATTATGGTTCATTTGAGTTCAGAGGTTTTGGTTTCAGCCGGTTTTGTGTAAAGAAGCTTTGGCATTGAAGGAACTAGGGTTTCTGAGAACAGGGTAACATTTCTGAGGGAAATTCTGGTTTGATTCGAGTTCATCACTATTGACTTTTAGAGTGTCAAAGAGCCAAAATCTTTTAAGATTTCAGGGATTTCGTGGTAATTTGCTGTCTGATTATAACATTTTCTCATCGGATGCGACCTGGTCAGTGTCAAGTGTTGATAAGGGGACACAACATCTAAAGCTTTTGGGTTTTGAACGGTTTTAGTTTCTTAGTTGATCAGGCTTTTTTTATACACGGAGCAGATCTGTATCATTTAGGGAGATTAGCCATGGTTTCCTCAGAAAAGCCAGACATCATGGGAAATGGAAAAGTGGATGGCTCAAAAAGTGAAAGGCAAGCCTTCGATGATAACAAAGAAGTCAAATCACAAGTTTCAGAAGATTTTACTTCATCAAAGTGTCATAAACAAATTCAGTTATCTCTGGGTTGTAGTTCTTCACAATCCTCTTCCACACCTGAATCATCAGTGGATAATACACGGGAAAGAATGGTTTTCAGTGAAATTTCTCCCTCTGATGTCGATTCCCATGAAGTTTCCTCAGAAAGTAATGGCATTCAGAGAAGTGAGAATGATACAGTTCAGAGAGGAAGCGGGCCTGGTCTTGCTGATAGACTAAGGGATATCTTTCAGGGCCAAGGTGATGGGGATTTATTGCTTCAACAAACTGAGGGGAAGATGGTATGTTAAGGTGGCTTCAAGCCTTGGACATGCAGGTTCTTGGTGCTTGTCGAGCTGATGAGAGATTGAAGCCTATGCTCAAGTTGAACATCTCAAGTGGGGTTGCGGAGGATCGGCTACTCGTGCATTTGAGTCAGGTACGTTATTTACTTCCTTTTTGTCAATGTTTTTCTTTAGTGGTTTCTCTCCCCACTTAGAACAGATATTCATTCATGAGTGAAATAATTACCATTAGAACATTTATTCTTTGATATGCATATCTTGGAATTCATGCGCGATGAAGTGGATCTAAATTTAACATGAACATTTGTGGGAGAAGATTATGGTATTGACTTCCTCTTCTCTATTTCATACACAGCACTTTGATGCGTCAGAAGTTGGAATGCTCGCACGGTGTTTATGTGTTCCTCTGGTATCAATTCGTGTGGGAAAGGTTGTCAAGCAGGGTCGATTATTTTGCCCCATTGCTGCAAGGTACTTCCTTTTTGATACTCTCTATTGTTTGGTAATCACCTTCTTTTTAAGATATGATAGTTGAGTGGTTATGCTATTCACTGTATTAATTTGGGATTATCATTTATATAACGCCTTATCAGAGAAATTTGTTTTTTTATTGGTTTATTGTCATGAAAATATTATGCTTGAAAAAATATTTTTTTGGTAAGTGATAAATGTTTTCATAAAATTGAATAGGTACAGTCAGTTATGAAGACTTTTTCGAGGGCAAATTGTACATGGATTGATTGCTATGTATTTATTTTTGTTTGCCCTGCTTGTTATGAGCTTTATAGTTTTGAAGCCTTTACCAAGCGCTTCAGTACTTTATTGAACTGACACTTGTGCATTAAAATCTGCTGTCTAGAACTGTATGTATTTATTCTGCAGATCATATATGATTTATTTACCCATTATATGTTTTCTTCAAGTTGATGATATTGGATGTTGCATATTCTCGATTGAACTGTAGGGTGAACTTACATAATATGACATGACTTGGTTACCATTGAAAAAAAAAAAAAAACGATTTGTCCTGCTTTCATTTACTTTTAGAGAACGATAAGTCATTGCTAATAATCATGCAGTGAAATATTTTGCCGAGTTGGTTTAAATGGATTTGTTCACATAGTTCTAATTTGGTCCCTTGATTTTGTTGGTATACTGATTAAAATTCTAAATGAATATCTACATATGTGTATCTAATATTGTAACTGATTATGTTGATGAAGGTCACCTGTTGTGCACTACTATGTTGATGAAGATTACCTGTTTTAATGTGCACTTCTTATGGGATTCGACATATACACGAGTAGAATTTGTGCATAGAGTGATTGTGTAAACATGATCAGCAACTAATGAAGTGGGATGGAATCTTCGATGTTCAATTCTTCGGCATCAACCCTTGTTATCTTAGGGAGTTGGCAATTGCCTTGGCCTCCACAAGCACATGATTGAATGAGAAGAAATTGCACCTTTAGATGGAGCATACCATAATGAGACTTAACCAACAAGCCTTCTAGATTATTTCACCATCAAACCTTTTAACATATGTATGAAGTGGCACTATAATAAAGCATAGAGTAGGGACAAAGCTAACCTAAACCTCAGGGAGTTTGATGGCACAGCACCCTTGGCAGCCAAGAGATGGCATGCCAAGACCTTGTGAGACTCTTGGTGGGGTGTGGTTCCCGAGGAGGATCTCTCCTTTAGTAAATGTGAACCACCATGTGGTTCCAAAAGAATAGGATTTGTTTTTTAAAAGGTTTTTCTAGGAGTCCTAAACCAAATAGGATTTCTAAAGTGATTAGCAAATCCAGATTGACTAGGACTTCGATTCTATTTGTGAATCCTTACCCAATCAGGACTTCTAACCTATGCATAATTTTACTTTCCCCATCTCCATACATGCCTATCAAAGGTTGATACACTTGTAAGCGTCCAATTGCATTGGTCCTACATCAGAATTTGTCCTGAAATTTGATGAATTTACTTCTCTGTGATGCGATTTAAATGCAAAAGATGGCATCTTCCATTCTAGTCTTGTTTATGTATGGCAATCCTTAGTTGAGTGTGCCTTTTCTGGAAAGAGCGATAACTGGCTTTGCCTAGTAAATCAAAAGTTATTTATACCTGCTTCATTTCATTAAACATGTGAGAGTGCTGTTTAATTGCAATTTCAATTGATTAGCCTTGCATCTTGTGTTCACTTTTGCAATTCAAGCATTTGATACAATCTCTGTTTTGGGCGTGATTCACCTTACCATGTTTGGATGCCACACATTCTTTTAATGATTTGTTAATTATGTTTCTTCCATCCAGTTGATAACATACTGTAACTGTAGGCTCACACTTACCTTAGATTCTGACAATGTTCACAAGATTCTATTTACCATCAAACACATAACAAGTTACTGGATTTATTCTTCATCTTGTTAATGGTGACACTGTTCCTCTCTCCAAATAAAGCTGTGTTGTGATTTGTAGGCAAAGTGGGCGTGTGTGATGTCTTTTATGGTCCCTGATATAAGAGGGAAAGAAGGTAGTTTCTTTCATGGCTTTGCATTCTGTAGTTTACTTATTCCCGTTGCATCTCCTTGTCGTTAATATTGGTCAAACTATCATATGAATCAAGTAGAGGATTGTGGTAGATCTTCTGGTTCTCTTAGCTGAATATCCTTTATGCATTTTATTTAATATACTTAATTAAGTTTGCTTGTTAAAACTTAAAAAGGCTGGTCAGTTATCGCTCTTTTGTTATTGCTTTTGCAAAACAAATCTTTGTGATTATTGATAATATTTAAGCTATATTACTAGATGATTACTCATTTTCAATTTGTGTTATTATTTTGTTATGTTCTCCAGCATCTATTTCATCTGTTTATGCTGTGCAATAGTTCCCTACTGTACATGGGTGATTTAATTAGATGGTCTTTTTTCCTGTCCTCTGTATAAATGCAATGTAATGTTAAACTGTTCAGTGCATAAATTAATTATTAGAAATTACTCTATATGTTTTTCCTTCTGAATGTTTTACTATCCTTGTACTATGCAAGTCAGCGAATTAATTTTTGGCAATTGCATGGGGTCCTATGTGTCGTACCTTCATCCTCAACTTGTTGAAGAAGACATACATGGCCATTATAACAGTGATAACTCTGATATCTGCATCCTAATTTCTTGTGTATTCCCACTTCATTATCACAAGGATTCTCTTTTTCACAGTTAACAGATATGGTATGAGTACGATGAAAAATAGATATGGGACATTCGGCTTGGTACAAAGGTTATTACAATGTCGGGTGAGACCTTAAAACAGTGTTTAGAGAGTAGGATGCCTGCTGCAACTGGCTGATTTTATTTGAAAATAAGATAGGGGTGGGATTCTTAGGTTTGGCCAATTTTTGGCTTCTCTGTCTGTAACTACTGTGTCTCAATCTGGTCCCACTTGGGCAATTCGCAATTCGGACCATCGAGTTCTTAGTTACTGCTTACAAGTTCTCATGCTTCTTGCTGACATTTGGGTCCACGTATAGGTCTTGTATGGAAGGCACATTTGAGGATCTGAGGTGATTGACAATTTCATAGAACTCGTTTACTGTAGCGGCAATATTCTATGGCCCAATTGATATCATAATTGCCCATCTCAACATTCTTGGCATAAGGGTGACCCGAATGTTGGTTGACACTTAAGTTCTCATGCTTCTTCTGACTTTTGTGGCTTCATGCTGAAAACATCACATCTTGTTCTTGGGCTTCCTTTTGAATGTGTATGAAGGGATACTTGACAAACTGAGACAACTGACAATGTCACAATCTTGTTTACCAATGTCACAATCTTGTTTACCTTATTCGCAATATCGTGTGGTCCATCTGACACCATGTTTGCCTACCTCAACATGATAAAGTGAGTTTGTTTCTACACTTAAGGTCCAAAGAATGCTAAAACAAATAACCTTAACCTAGGCGAGTAGAAGGCACAAATCCATTGCTGTCTACAAATGGCACATTGTCATTACTGCTTGCCTCCGGATCCCAAATGGAGTTATCAAAATGATATCTCTTAACCCCCTTGCCTCTATTATGGGAGGATCCATCCCCCGCTATAATCCTTCGTCCCTCATTCCCTCACAAGGTGCTCGATCCTCCACTCTTGAAAGCTCCTCGCATAGTTATCATAACCTATGTGCATAACCAAACTCCACCCTGCAAGAAGGAATGGTCAATGACAGCTCCTCAAATGGATGCCTCTCTTCGTCCAATAAAGGGCCTGTTGACTGTTGGCATACCATCAACCCCCACACTTTATGGGAGGAGAAACTCTCAGCCCCCAGCTGTTTTGAGGCCTGTCATTTAAAAGATCTCTATAGAGGCTTTTGAAAAGGTTCCCCTAGACTCTGAAATCTATATTTCTATCGACTGCAGCAACATATGCTCTATCAGCCCAAGAGAACAACCCATTCGGTAACTTATTGGGAGGCTCAAAATAATCTGAAGCAACTTGTGTTTACCTATCAACTGCCATACAAAGGAGCCCTACAAAAATTCACGCTCAAGGGAATGTCCTCACCTCCCAATTATTTGATTGAAATATTGGCCAAGTAGAACTGACACTTCGATGTTTTTTACATTATAGTTATGAACACAAATGCTCTTTTGCAATTTCATATTTACAAGTGAACATCTGTAGTTTATTAACATTTATATCTAGTTATTCTAACAAAAGTTTACTTAGGATTTGTTGCTGAACGACAACTATCGTAATTAGTGTTAACACTTAATTGATGATAATGCACAATTATGCAATGCTCCTAGTTTTCCTGCCTTTACTTGACAGTTAGCATCCGTTAAGTTGTGTTGCTGCTTTGCAAGTATGAAATACTTTCATCCTTCACATCCTGCTTATCTATCCTATCTATGCATGCATGTAATGATAAACAAGCAAATCTACGCTTTGTGTAGAAGCAATACAAATTCAGTGTGGTCTTCCCGATCTGCCAATATGCTGGGTTTTGTCCCCAGCTTTACTTGGTCTATATTTAATTAGTGTTTGCCACTGAAAGTGAGATATGGAAGCATTGTATCTGCACCTCCTTCTCTCTTTGTCTGCATTTTCTATTTTAATAAAAAGGTCTATGTGAATTTTACAGTATAACCTAGTTATTTGAAATAATAATTTTTTATTTAAATGTGCATAATTACAGGGGCCACTTGAATCTGACTTTCCTGCCTTCTTCTGATCTTCGCATTTCATTTGTTGGGGATGATGGTTGCATGGAGAGGCTTGCAGTATTGAGCCCCGACGATGAAAATGCAGTTGCCACAATAGAAGAAATCCCTGCTGATACCTCAGGAAGGTCTTTCGAAATCAAGCTTCCAGGCAATTCAGTCTTCTACTTTTGGCTCTCAGAGAAATCCAAGCTCCATGGGAACCAATTACTCAACAAGGTATGCTGATTAAGTACATCATACTCTTGTATGCTTTGAGCTCCTCCTTTTAGGTTCCGTGACATAATTTTATGTCATTTCCAATGGACTATGGTGTACTGTATACTATAGTTCAGTTGTATATGTTGCTCAAAGGCTGCATCCACCATCTTCTCCCAGTAATGGGTCGTTGGGGATTAACCTGAGTGGGCCCAGCTGGCACATTAACGTGGTTGCAGTTTATCTCCGACCGTCCTTCAGTGGGAACAGCCAGTGGATAAGTAACATATTTGATTGGGTTATGTTTTGGTGTATCATATTCTCTCCTCTCTCTCTCTCTCCACTGCACTATTGCTTTATTTGGATAAACAAACAAGAATTTTTTTAGGATTAATTATTGGCAAGGGGCCGTCACTCGGTGTGACGGTAAAAGGCTCACGTAGCCAGCACAAGAGCATGGGTTTGAGTCCTTAGAGTGGCCACTTTGTGGATGAGCCAAAGGTTAGGACCGTTTCCAGCCCCCCCTCCCAGGATCCTACTTAGGCGGGACCAGCACCGTCTTACTGTCCTTTTTATTAATTATTGGCAGAAACTACAGTAAGTCTGGAAACAATAGAATTTGGATTTATGTGTGTGTGTGTGTGTTTCTTCCTTGGCAGATGAAGGACCTGCTCAAAAGAAAGCCTTCTCTAGCTCAGCTGACCGGTATACGAGAGTCACGCCTCAACTCTTTTGCAACATATCTTCGAACCTCTTTCATCAATTCAACTGACACAAACCCAACTTCACCTGCGAACTCCTCTTTGACTGGGCCTGTCTCTATAGATCAATGCACCACCCAAACTTTCTCTAACCCTACTCTCTCATCCCTGAAGCCTTCTTCTCGAAGGCTCACTATTGGACAACCCTCAAAGACCTCGCCTTCACAGGGCACCCTGAGTCCTAGAACAAACACATTTAAAGAAGCCACTCCAAAAATGCCTCTTCGTTGAGAACTGGTGTTTTAGTCAGGCGAGGAGGAGAGAGAAACTCTTCTCACTCTAGCCTTCCAACACTGAGCCAGTTGCCACCACCCTCTTCCACCCCCATATCGAGCAACTCCACGCTGCTCTCTGAACTCAAAACCAGGACTGAAACCCTAATAAGCCAAACGCCATTGTTCTCTCTCTCTAGGAGTTCACCATCTTTCGACCCACAAAGCTTCTCTCACAGCTTTCCCTCTCTTCATCCACCCACCTCTCAAGCCCCCCGCTCTCCTTTAAGCCCTTACTATTGCTGGTGCCCTCCATGCCCTTCACCCCTCAAATTTACAGTTTCGTCCCCAAACTTGCCATCAGTTCCTTCAAAACCCTCAGCCCTACCCACCCTATCCTCCTACTTATCAGTGGGCCCTTCATGCCCTCCTCTGCCTCCCCTTGATCTGGCCGAACCAATGGTCGGAATCACTCCACCTCTCCCTGGGCCCCAGCAGATTCCGACATTCACACCATTCATCGCCGATCCCATTGTCCACATCCCTGTGATTGATATTTGCTCATCAGGTCAGGCCTATTTTGTGAGTGCTGGGCCTGCAATCTCAACAAGCATTTCGCCTCTTCAACTCCCAAATCTTAATCTTGTCGGAGGGCTTATACCAAAGTCAGAGTCACTGGTTGAGAAGGGGGCAAGGGAGACGCTCAGACTACTCATTGGCTCCACCCAGAATGAAACTCAGTTCATTGAGGTAACTCTCTCTCTCTCTCTCTATTGTTATGGTTTCGATGGGTCTTGAATCATTATAAATTCCCAAGTGCCTGAAATTTAGTTTAAAATTTTAGTTTGAATGACTCAAACTAAAAACATTATTTGTTAAGACCTAGGCTTTTATTTTTCAGCAGATATTTGATTTGGGAAAGGTTTCTATACTTCCCCTACAGCATAGAATATCTATGCTTCCCCTACCATTCCAATTTTGATCAAGAGAGCCACTCACCGTTTGATCTTAGATCCGCGACTCAAAGTATTTTTTTTTTAGTTTTTTTTATATAAATTGTATGAATATGAAATTTGGCACGTGCCATCTTCTCATTGGGGCGTACCTATAAAAAATACTAAAAATATTTTTTCAATAAATATAATGACCAAAATACCCCTTGAAACTTTCATGGGTATTTTTGTCATTTTATTTTATGGGAAATATTTGTTTTATATTTTTCGCTAGTGCGAGTTTAATAGAGGATTGGACGTACAAAATTTGGTATCAAAATAGTTTATAGACAAAAAATTAAAAATAAAATAGTGTAGAGACGTGACATTGTGATTGAGGCAATCTTAGCCCTCCATTCAGAATGGACAGTTGGATAAGGATAAGGGGAAATATATAAATTTTATGTTGTAGGGGAAGCATAGAAAGCTTGCTCATTTGATTTAACCATCTATCTTTCTCTCTCTCTCTCTCTCTTTGTTTTGACAATGTGTAGGCTTTCTCTCTCTCCCCCTTCCCTCCTGCGTATGCTTTTGTTGCTGTTTACATTTTTCCCCCTAATCGACAATAGGAATCCATTGAATATGCCTTCTATGGCCTCCATTCCTGTTTAGGCTTGAGTAACTTTTTGATTCTACAATTGGTTTTCTTCCCATTTATCAAACATTGTTTTGTGTCCTCTGTGTGTGTGTGTGAGAGAGAGAGAGAGCTAATAATCTATATGATTCTATTCTCAAAAAAATAATCTATGTGATTCTGACAATCTGTTTTATTTGCAGGATAGTTTATGCACTGCATTGGTGGGGGGGAGCCGAGGTCTCTTTTATGGCTCACGTGGCATGGATATCGCAACATCCATAGGCTGTTTTTCGGCCAATGGATCAACCCATCTCATCAGTGACAGTTCCATGAGCACCATGCACCAACAGCCAGGGTTCAGTGAGAAGCTCAATAGCATTGAAGAGTCGAGCTCCACCATTGAAGACAGCCTAGAGGTCTCAGGTTCACAAGATGAAGAGGGGTCCTCTTGTTCAGATGAAGGGGCTTAAGAGGAACTTGATATTCATACACAAATGTGTGCTATAATCCAAACACTATTTTTCTCTAATTTTCTCTCTCTAAATTTGATTTAAGATGCAGGCTTTGTGATATGCAATTACCCGCTTTTGTACGTGTGTTAGGGCCTGAGAGCATTGAAGCCATGATCTGTTTTTTGTACATGAATGTAAAAACTTAGGGCATTGATTTAATGATCTGTTTTTGTACAAGTTTTTCTATCCCCCCCTCTGCCCCCCCATCCCCAACTCCTGAAAAGCTCACGAAAAAACAGGGAAAAAAAAGAGAAAAGGTTGGGTGAAGCCCCTTGCTCTTTAAGGGTTGATCCCCTGATATATCCGAGGATGTGTATTTTGTGTATTTCGAATAAGGGTGAGTTTTGTGAGAGGTTGGCGACTTCAACAATCAGTAAGGCACATTCTAGGCGCATTCTAAAATGATGCTGAAATATGCAGTTCAAGTATGGGAAATCTTGATGGTGGTTTTTAAGTCTATTTTTGTATCTGTTGTAAGAAATTTTAAGCTTCCAAAATACTGTAGATCGAGCAAATTATGAATATTTGAAAATCTTAGAAATAGACGGTCTAGATGATACATTATAAGATGCATTACTTTTAAAGACTTGAAATCTTTTTGTTTTTCACATCTATACATGTGGAGGTTGAGACCTGACGGTTTTCCTGTGTTAGAACAATTTTTTTAGTTTTTCATCTTGTAAGGTTGACACTTTATATAAAGTTTTCTCTTTCTACATGAATTTTAGACTTGAAAGAACCTCTGCCAAATTAAACAAATTGCTCTAACCATAAAATTGTGAGTTTTGAAAAATACAGGGATTGATGGTTCAGGGTTGGGCTGCTTTCCTCCTTATTTCATGCACTGGCAGTAGGGTTGCACCCCAGTCCTTGCAATCAGTAGTGTTACATAAACACAAACTAGGAAAGTGGAGGGTCGATGTCAATTGTGACAACGGCCTAAATAGCTCAGATGACTAAATACATATATTCGAATGGTATGTAATAAGCAGATTGGGGATGTGGTAGATAAATGTAGTAAAATATTGGGAAATTCATATCATCACGCCAAAGCACATTCAACGCCACCACCAAATGGAAAAGGAAAAAAATATATACAGCATTTTGGAATAAAATAAGGCAGAAAGTAACCACTCTTCAGTGCATTAACCTGATGATCCCAGCACAAATTTAATATGATCAAAGGCTAGTCTATCCATAATAAAATTGGTTAAGAAAACTAGCCTTTCATGATGTATGCTTAACCAGTTGCACCTACATCATAGCCTACTAATCACTCAGGTGCCATCTCTATCAAGCTGTAAAATATGAAATGCAAATTCTTTTCTTATTCTTCCTTATTTTTAAGGTTATAAAATATTTAGATGCTCTGGACATGATTGTGACTTACAAGTTAAGTGGTCTAGTTTTTTTTTACTCAATGCCATAACCACTGAACCAGTAGCTTTCATTTTTTTATGCAGTTTTCGAATCTCCACCCTGGCTTCGAATTGTTACTGCTGACCTAACCACTTCCACAATCGAAAAAGAAAAAAGAAAAAGAAAAAAAAAGAAAAAAGAGAAATACATTCTAGCTTGCCCTATCAATGCTCTTTGTTGATTATCATTAAATATAGCTTTTTTTTGAGGTGTAAGACGGGTGAGGACCTTAAACTTTCCTTTAGCCCATCCCATGCCTGGGTAAAAAGGTTAGGTTGTATTAAATATGTAGCCAATGTAAAACTTCGTCAAAAGTTATCATGAATCTTGAACTTATAGTGCATAATTATAGATCAAAATTCGTGTAGTTAACTAGGGTTAGCTGGAAAAAAGCTTTGATGACGATGATGATAATATTTTTTTAAAAAATTAAATATTATCATTAAACACATCAATTATAAGAAGGGATCGTATACAAGGAGACCATTTACTTTTGATACAAAGAGGTTATGATTATTTACATCTATCTGACGTGAAACTTGGATGTGTCACAAAGTTTGAAAAATTTACTTTTTAATTTTGAGCTTGATCAATGGAATAAATGTAGCCGTCTAATTTCACATCAAATGGTCAAGATCAATTTTGACCACTTTGTACTAAAAATAAATAGTCCCATTGTATACTAAAGATATATGGTCTCAAAAAATGGAAAACATGGACCGTACTTCCTACCCGGTGGCAAAGACTTTGATAAGTCTGTTAAAGTGGATTTTCGAAGAATTATTATTAACATGCAAATTGTTGCGAATATCGCTTTCATATTTGTCTGTTGGGCCTGGAATACATTTGACATGCATCATGCTCAGGTCCTCCAAAAGATATTTTCCAAGACATCTTCACATTAATAAAATTCAACATTACTAAGTGGATACATTAATATATGGAAAAGGTTTATACAAGGGTGAGTCCCTAAACAATCAAATTAAGGGCGTACCTCAAAAATTCATTAGAAAATATTATTTCGATGCTGGAAAACCCTCAATTTGATCATCTCGACCTCAAAAGTCAAGGTATATGAGCAAGAGAAAAAATAAATTTCAAGTATTAAAAATAGTGCATGTTGTAATGTATTATCCAGACTGTCAGTTTTCAAGACATTCAAGTTTTCATAGATCTGCTCGGTCTACATTATTTTTAAATTTTAAATTTTATAATTAGAGATGAAAATAACTTTTTATGGCATCATAAAGGCTTATAATCGTGGAACAACATATTTGGACACCATTTGAAGGTGTGCCCTACTTTGCTAGTCGAGGGCTTCAGCCTTATACAAACCACACCTTTAATATATATGTTTATGATCTTAATAATCCTGCAAGCAAACATACATTTCTACTTGGACGTTTCTTTTGGTTTAATTAACTATGTGAATTGGGTTGGTTGCTTAAATCTCATCCAATGAAATGTTTGGTCCTTGCTTCCCCAATCTCCAATATGTTAACACAACAGTTAACTTTTCCACTAGTTTCTCCATCTGAGGGTACACTTGTTTTGGATTTGGAAACAACTTCTCAATCTTCTAAAAATGGATATAAAATTATAGATACACTTGTCCCCCTCTCAATTCTCACTTTTTTCTCTTTCTCATTCAAGGAAGGAGAACGAGATATATGACCGAAAAGGTGGGTCTCCTTGTCCCAAAACAAACCAAGTGTGAGCCATAATCATGTAAAGTATCACATTGTCATGGGGTCATGAGAATTTAGTGAAAAATACCTATTCATCCTGAATAGTAACCCTCAACCATGTGAGTTGTATGCCAAGATATAATAACTAAGTCAAAAGATTTCATGCTCATGTAGGAGGATATTGTTTATTTAAAACCCAATCTAGGTGTAATTTTAGGACCCTAGATTTTTGAGATGTAACCTTTTCAAACCGTAGATTAACCTCAATGAAAAAAGAAAAAAAAAATTCCAAATTGCACTCTTTGTGTAAAAACAGTGTCTGAGAACAAAGATTGTCCAATTATTGGAGAGTAAAGTTTAAGTGTCAAAAAAAATTAAAATTAAAAATTTTTATTTTGAAAATAATCATCTAGTGATTCTTATGTGGTTCTCAAAATTTTAGCTTGAAAACATATCCCAAATAGGTCTTCTTATCATGGTAACATGTGTATAATATGCTATTGCAGGAGCAAAGTATACATGCTCATAACTAAGGAAAATTGTTTCATGCGGGCTGGACCGCATTTCTACATATGCGGTCCAGAAAGTATAAATCATCCATCTAAAAGATGCCTACCAGTAGGTATTCAATCTAAAGACAATGGAAACTAACGGTCCAAATGTTTTCTTACTAGAATTATTATTTTTCCATATTCATGATCTCCATGATAGAGATTACATGTCCTTAAAAATTAAGTCTCAAAATCCATCACAAAAATAGATTTATTAATAGGCCCGCATTCTTACATATAAGGGCTTAGCCACATAAAAACTGAATCCCATAACTAAAGGGAAAGTATATAATAAGACAATTTATCAACAAGCTGGCTGCCTATCAAGGCCGGTTTGAATACAATTAAGGAAAAATAAACAAGAAAAGATAAAGAACTAAGGTCGGGCCGAACTGGGTTAGCCCTGTCGTGGAGCCTTTGGTCCATATTTTGTGGCCCAGGCCCTGGTCTTTTAGGGCTAGGCCACCGACGCATTGCCACCCTTATTTATATATGATACAAGAATGCACAATCACCCTAGTCATCAATGTGAAAGTGATAGGCTGGGTGTCCTATTGACTGTACATAAAGTTTATTTATTTATTTATTTTTCTCGTACTTTATGCAAAGAAATAACACACCCTCAACTACTCGATGTCATATGTGATAACTAATGGGTGATTGTGATTTTTCTTTCCCACAAATGAACATAGAAAGTACATGAGCTTTATACAATCCCATAACTAAAATCAATAACATCCTCACCAATCCCTTTTTGCTATATTTGAACAAATCTCTTTGTTTTTGGCTCACATAGGAGTCTTTCCTTTAAGAGCATAACCTATCCAGTTCATTCCCATGTATTATCCTAATTCATGCTATAAGTAAAGAAAAAGAGAAAGGACTCTTTCCTTTAAGCACATGACCTATCCTATTCATTCCAGTGTCCTGTGCTAATTCATGCTATAGGTACAGAAAAAGAGAAAAAAATGTAATAAATAAAATATTTGAGAAGATAAAGCAATAGGCATGTATGACACACATTTTTTACCTATATTTTTTTAGAAATGTATATAACAATAATATTTATTTTTGGCACAAAGGTTACAATTATCATTGATCTTAAGATATGAAATTGAGTAGATGAGGATGTGTCATTGACTCTACACAAAGTCCAGAATCAAATTTCTTGATGTTGTGACGCACTTCAATATGTTCAATATGTTGGGTTTTATACCCAATTGCTAAAAATAACTGTGAACTCCTTACCAAAATTGAATGGTATTGAAATATACAATCCCCTTCTTCTTTTTTTCCATAAACAATTATTGTAATTAAAGGCTAGGTTTTCCTATCCTTAACTATGGCTTAAAATATGTAAAATAGACCGTTAATCTTTTATTGGCTGTTTGTTAGAAGGATGTAGTTTCTATAAGGCTTAGGCTTTATGAAAAAAAAAGTAAAAGCTTGGCCTTGAATTTTCGTCCGAAAAGCACCTTGGGAATCGAAAATCTCTATGATGGCTATAAAAACAATTTTCATCACC